TTAATATGTTCCAAGAGTTATACCCCGGGCATAGCCAGCAACCATTTTATATAAAATGACCAACATGGGTTGAACAACAATATAGACAGTGCAGAATCTCAAAACCGAATGCTTGGCTATTTTCGCAAGAAGCATTAACCAGATTAACTATGGTTTCTGGAAGAGCAAGGTCAAATATACAAAACCAATACTCAAACCGAAACTTTAGTCAACTTAATGGCATTCATGAAAACCGAACTGGCTTTCTACAATAAATGTTCAACTTCCAGTATTAATATATTATGGTCGCCCTACTGCAATTAAACCTCGTATTTACGTTACCTCCCCGCAAACATATTCTGAGCGTTCAGAATATATGAGTCCGAAGGAAGTTCTAGGTAGGTAAGAAACAAGGCACATAAATACAGGTAGAAGCCAAAATGACGTTGCTCTCATGAGAACCAAACCTTTAAACTTCAACTTGTTTTTCATTTATTTCCTATATTTCGTTACGCTTTGAATGTCATATCGTTGTTTTTTTTTTGAATGTTCGTTAATAACAAATTTTAATTAACATTTGAATTTTTGTAGTGTTGTGCAGTTTATACTTAATGTATGTGTTAAAAATGCAACACCGAAGCGTTGTTTTTTATGTGGTGTTAAATATGAAGCAGATACCATTTAACGTGCCTCAATGTCCTTCGCATAAAGTGCGTTGCGAAAGCAGCTGTGGGCCAGAGCTGCAGCGAAATGCCTTGCTGTGCGTTAAACACCTTAAAGCAGCAGATTTCATAAATGCACCGGGAGGTACAGGAAAGGCACGTTTGATGCCAAGTGCTGTTCCTATGACCCTTATGCCGGAAAGTCCCTCCAACAACACTGCAACTCATAAATTAAAAACATAAAACAACATACAAATTAACAAATTTTAACTAAAGAAAAATAAATAAATAGAAACAAAACTTCAAATTTACTCAAAAACGTCAACCAGCGAAATGTAATTTTTTATTTTTCCTTACACACGCTCATTTTTATTTTTACTCTCCCGAAAAGTTTGACTTTTGTAGGTTTGATGTCAATTTGGCTTCTACCTGTTTTTATTGTACCATGGGTAAGAAATATGAGTTTCAAAAACCAAAATTTTTTTACTCTTATATGAATCTTTTAGGACTCATATATGATCCAAGTTATGAGCCAGCACCTTGTGCCAATATAAAAACAATAAAGATTTGAAATTTATATCCAAACTTGTTTATACAGAAATTGAAAATAATTAGAAAACAATAAATGAACAAAATTTAGCTGTAGCTGCTGCTATTGCATGCATGTTACAATGTGTATACGCACGTAAGTATGTATGCATGTTATTTGAAAGGAATTTTCGCTGAATGCTTTTGCAAATAAAGTGCGTTCAATAAGACTCAAAGAACAACTTAAAATAAGAGTCAGAATTTAGTAATTTATGAGGCTGATTAGAGGCTCGAAAAGAGTCTGAAATGATTCATATATGAGGCCAATAATTGTTTTAAAAGAGTCCAAAATGAGCCGTATATTAGGCCAATAAGAGTCCAATATGACTCATATTGAGGCTCATTTGTTGTATGAATTTAAGCTCATATAAGTCGACCTTCGGAGAAAGGGAAACACCCTCATATCGGACTCTTAAATGAGCTCATTATGAGCATAATGGCTCCGAAATAGGACTCCTTAAAGACTCATTTATGACTCCAAATGTTTGCTGGGCTGGAGCAAAACGAAAAAACTATGTATACATATAAAATATATTATATTCCCCTAATGCTCTGAAACACCCTAATGTAGGTTTATGTATGTGATTGTTGTTCAAAGCGCTAATGCACGACTGATGTATCATGAAATTTGATTTGTCTTGCAATGTTTATTATTTTTTAAAAGCTGATGTCTGTCGAGCATCAAAACAAAAAAAACCGATAGCAACTGATGCTTACATTCATAAATATATGTAAGTAAACACCCTATAGGCAAATGACACACATCACTTGGCATTGAGGTGATTTTAAATAATGCTTTATATCATCGACCGATATATTTGTATTTAATTATAAGAACAGCTGAAGTGCAATGCAGAAGGACCTGTCTGTACACTGAGCGTGAGTAAGTGGAGTAACTTAAGGAAAAAAGTACGCTTATGGTATAGGTTGGAGTTCTCGTATAGTATTGCATTTTCGAAACGACTCAAAAATAAAAGGAAACAACAGCTTATAATTTTTAAATGAAATTGACGGTGTAAATTTTTATTAATTTTTAATTTGATTGCAAATTAGTGTAAAATATACTTTTATGTCCGAATTGTGTGAAGAATCCGTTGATTCTTTTTTTTCAAATTTTATCAATACGACTCTATAGCAATAAATCATTTTCTTCTGCTCGCGTCAGTTAGAGCAGTTCGGTGTTCCTTAATAAATTGAATATTTTATTATTCAGTTGATCTTTTGTCTCGGATTGTTTCGTCGTTCTGTTCACACTCTTTCTATTTCTTGCAGGGCACTCGCATTTGCATATACCTCTGTACGTGCCAGCAACATTCTTATATTAATAGTTGGATGCTACGTGCGCACTTTGTATAAGTAATTGCGAAGCGAAAGGGAATTCCCGGCACACAAAGCATTAACAATGTTTTTTTTTGGTTTAATTTAATTTTTTTGTTCACTTGTTTGTCATTGAGTGTCGTCACTAATATGCAAATCATGTAGGAAATGTAAATTATTTTTTTGCCCTTGCGGGTTCTGGGAACTATTAGGTTTTTCTACAATAGGAAACATAAGAAAGTCTTAAAATTGTTTGCATTTGTATAACTAGTTATTCTAAGGAATTAACGGAAATATTTTTTTTTAAATAAGCTATTGAATTTGCTCTTGTGTGAAAAGTTTATTGGGTTATCGTTTAGACTTCTTTGTCTTAAAAATGTCTTGAGGTCACTATTTCCTTCAGCAAAACTGGACAAAGTAACCTTTTATTGTTTATCTAATCATTTGTTGGGGATATAATTGCTTTGTATTAGGAACACAGCCACTTATCTCGGATTAATTGGCACAAACGAGAGGATCTCCCTTCTTGATTGGGCAAATACCACTGAGATTCCAACCATTAAGAAAAAAAGTAACTTGGTTTTTTCAAATAGTGCCGTTTTTAGTTTTTCCATGTTAGCGATATTAGAAATTTTTTAATAGGAAAATAATTTTTTAAACAAACATAAACATAGCTTGCTACTATTTGTTTGCCTCCAGGTATGGTCCGGGTTCGAATGCCATTAGACGAAGCGTATAATTGTTGATTATTTTTTTTAGATTTTTCTCAATGCCGAAAATAGATCTGTGAAAGCCTTGGTATCTCAAATGCACGGTTACCAGAATTTCACATTCATCTCTACAAGAGCCAGCCCGATCTTGAAACCATTTGAACTTTATACAAATAAAAATTTATCCGGCGCAATTATTTATTAAATATATATTTTTGGGCATTTCTATAAATTTGCATTTGTTTAGTGAATTGCGTACCTACTTACATTCCTATATACAGTTGCCCACAAAAGAGACAGTTTTGGCTATTTGTCTTTTGTTTATTTTATGTTTATTATTTTTTTTAGAAAAGTCTAGTTGGTTATACAACAAACACCATATAAATTTACATTTTAAACTTTGTACAAAAATTCTGCAAATTTTCACCAAAATTTCAAACTCTTTAATCAGAATCTTTAGAAAAAATTGTGGTATGCAGTTTTGTAGCACATTTAATTCTAGTCTGATAAAGTGCAAGTTTCAAGTTGGTGAAAAATCCCGTTGATTTTTGAGAATTTTTTTTTTTTTTGTTGAAGGTGTTTCACGTTTTTTCCATACAAAGTGTGTTCGACAATTTTCTTTTATACAAATACAAATTTATATGGAGTTTGTTGTACAACCAGCTAGACTTTTATAAAAAAATAATAATAAACATAAAATAAACAAAAGACAAATAGCCAAAACTGATCAAAATATCGCACTCCTATTATTTTGTGGATAACTGTACATACATATGTATGTACAGCTTCCAAGTTCACTCATAATTCATCTAGATTCTAGAATAGTTATGACTGCAGTGCAAATTTATCTGCCAATTGGTTTCGTGCCTACTTTCTTGTTTTTTTCCACATATTCGAACGCCAATTAGTGTTAATTATGTTTTCTTCTGTGAAAGATATGTATTGCTTTTATTTTAAATACATGCGAAAAGTTGTAAGCAGAGCGCTGATGGCGCCAAACAGTCGACTCCTTAATAGAGCTCGGAGAAGCAAGATACATGCTGAGGGGGAACATTATAAAACTGAACTGGAAATCAGAAAGACAAAAAGTGTTTCAGAGAAAACGTCTGCGAAAGCGTAAATGAATTCTCCAGATTTGGAAGCATCTTTACTGGGAGGTCCGCTTCCTAGGATTACCTACTTAAGAAATGAAGTAGAAAACTAAACTGCAAGCAGTGGAGAGTCAGTGAAGCTTCTCAACGATGCTTCTTTTAACTCATACTCTGGAGAGTCCTCCATAGCGGAAAGGCATGAGGTTATGCTGCCCCATACAAGCGAGGAGCCCAGCTTCTAATAACTTGTGCACAATTAGTCTGTCTTCGTTTCTGCTAAGAACATTACATAAGATATATGTAGCATTCCTTGAGATCGTCTAGCGACAGGAGAGTGGAAATTTGTTGCACTTTTCAGGCAGATGCACCATTGTGGTCAGCTGATTAAGTCAAGTGCCATTTTAACCAGTTTTGGCTAATTTCCTTTAGTCTATTTAATGTTTATAATATCCTTAGCAAAATACTTTAATACACTAAAACCCAAGTTCATAAAAAATAAAGAAGGCTTTACCTGCTTTATAAATCGAAAATTTGTATGAAAATATCAATTTATAAAGCTCTTTAAAACCACTTTATTTTTTTTATAAATACGGCCATTAGTATTCAGTGCTGTGAAAATAACTGAATTCATGTAAAAGAATGCAAGTACTCACCCCGCCGCATATACCATAGCCACGATTTGTAGAAATCCAAGCGCAGCAACACAAAGCCGTCGCGTCATCTTGTTATCTTTCGATTTCGATTTCTTTTATTTTATGCGTGAACTTTTCTTCTGTTTATTTTATACGGTATTTTTAAATCCGGTCTGTTCATATACATACATACAAATACACTGCCATAAAAATAAATATCGCGAACATGTAGTACAAATTAAGCTTACATACATACATATGTACATACATACATAAGTATATAGGACACACGAAGAAACTAAGGCGAATTCGAAATTAAAAAAAAAAAATCCTTTTTGCTGAGTTGGCATACTCTTCTTATTTTATAAAAAAATAAAATACAAACATTTATTTATTAAAATCTTAAAATAAAGTTGCAATCTTTAAAGTTTAGACGTGGCACAGTGCTCGGAAAACTTTGTTTTTCGAGAAAAATTAGAAAGACTACGCCGATGTGAATGGAATTTCAGGATTGTAATATCTTCGTTATGCTGAATCCAATATGCCATAAAATTTGTATTTTGAGAGTTGACAGCTTTGAAATCAACTGTCGTTTGCTCTAAAAATAAACATAAACTAGCTAAAAGTTACACCCCTTACGATTTAGAACTCGCTGATCAGGTCAAATTTAAACTTTGACTGTTGACAGCAGTCAAAACAACTGTCACTTTCTCCAAAAATTAAAAAAACAGCTAATCCCGAATTTTAGTTCAAATTTAAACTTTGACTGATGACAGCTGCAAAAAAACTGTCACTTTCTCCAACAATTTAAAAAAAAAACAAGCATTAGGTTTCAGGTCACATTTAAACTTTGACTATTGACAGCTGTCAAATCAGCTGTCCCTTCATCTAAAAATAAAAATCATAAAAGTGAAATCCCTTAGGTTTTAGGATTCGCTGATCACGAAGTTCAGGTTAAATTTGAACTGTCACTTTCTCTAAAAATTAAAACAAAATTTCTTAAAATGACTCCCAATAGGTTTTAGAAGTCGCTGATCACAAATTTTATATCAATTTTTAATTTTGGCCGTTGACAGCTGTCAAATAAACTGTATGAGTATATAAAAAAATTTAATTAATTTTAACAAAACAATCTGATTTTAAGTGGGGAAAACTTAAAATGTATATAAAAAAAATTTAATTCATTTTAACAAAACAATCTGATTTTTAGTGGGGAAAACTTAAAATTTTAAGCTTTAAAAACATAGTGCCGTTGTAATGCGCACTCCCACTGTATGTTTACTCCACGCGAAAGAGCTCACATGAGCGCACTAAAATGCTCAAAACACAAAATGGCGCAAACATCCGCAGCTACATTTTCAGATCTGTCAATAACACCTGCATAACCTAAATAGAAGACTTTACCTTGTTTCACTTTATTTGTATACCATTTCTCGTCCAACACTTTTTGCCAATTAACCCAGTCATTTATTGCTCAAAAAACAAATGGAAGCAAATAAAAAAATGCAAACTTTTTTGGTATTATGGTATCATTCAATGTAGAAACAATAAATACCTTTCAATACAGCGAGCATTTTGAAAGTTTTCTATTAAAAAAGTCTGTGAAAAATAAGTAAAATTTTTCCATACATTTGGTAAAGGAATACTTTTTGCGATTGGTGCAATATTATGAACAAACTTACAACTTTCTCTTAAAATAACATTCATTTCTGAATTTCCTTAAGTTTTCTGAAATGGAATAAGAAATAATATTTTTTTTTTTTAACTTTGATAAAATGTTTTTTTTT